TCACACACTGGGGCCTGTCAGGGGGTGGGGAGCTGGGGGAGGGATAGCAGAAATATCTAATGTAAATAACGAATTAATGGGTGCAGCAAACCAACATGGCACATGTATACATATGTAACAAACCTGCATGTCGTGCACATGTACCCTAGAACTTAAAGTATAATAAAGAAAGAAAGAAAGAAAGAAAGAAAGAAAGAAAGAAAGAAAGAAAGAAAGAAAGAAAGAAAGAAAGACAGACAGACAGACATCTTAGGGATAAATCCAGTCCAACTTCTACAACGTATAAATTTCTATCACAGCACCTGTAACATTTAAACTGTTTCTTTACTAGACTGAAGACCCTTGAAAGCAGTGAGGTGACTAACTGGGCTTTTTATTCTTGGTACTTAGCATAGTACCCGACTCATAGTAGACACGCAACAAATGTTGCACACATGAGTGTATCAACCATTGCATGCTGAGGTTCCTTCCACAAAAATCTCCCAAGTGATAGTCCAGACTGTACTCAAGCACTTCACAAACGGGCTTTCTTTCTTTACTTTCCAGGGCAGTCCATCCAATCTCTGATCCTTTCTAACTGTACCTAGGTTGAATTGTAATATCAAATATAATGTAATCTTGTAGAGATTGTAATGTAATCTCATGGAAAAAAAACTTTCCTATGATTATAACGACCAAATTTTCCAGATCAAAAATAGGAATTCATGGTCAGACAGAGGATATTTGGCCACTCCCCAGTCAATATACATACATTCAACCCTCCTGCAAAATCCATTTTAAGAAGTTAAACAGATGGTAACCAACCCAAAAAGTCTTCACCTTTTCACCTTATTAAAGCACACCTCTATTAATACATGTGTGGATCATTCCTGTGTCAACGGAGGCTCTGAATAACTCCATGAGCTTTCACACAGTCACTGTAGTTTATACAAGGGATCCAAATAAGCGAAACATGTGTCTCGCCAGGAAAGCCACATGGAAGTACTATTTCTTTTCTTTTTTGACATGGAGTCTCGCTCTGTTGCCCAGGCTGGAGTGTAGTGGCACGATCTCAGCTCACTGCAACCTCTGCCTCCCAGGTTTTTAAGCCATTCTCTGGCTCAGCCTCCACAGCAGCCGGGATTACAGGCGTGTGCCACCACACCTGGCTAGTTTTTTGTGTTTTTAGTAGAGACAAGGTTTCACCATCTTGGCCAGGCTGGTCTTGAACTCCTGACCTTGTGATCCACCCGCCTTGGCCTCCCAAAGTGCTGGAATTACAGGCATGAGCCACTGCGCCCAGCCTGAAGCATTGCTTAACCTTCCCAGGAAGATTTTTAATTACCATGGTTAAAAAAAAAAAAAAATTAGAAAATAAAGAAAAGTTGAGAAAATAAAGACATCCAAAATTCCACTCCTCAGTCCTAGGCAGATATGTCTGTGTCCTCATTCCTATAAAGAGCCCTATTACAATCATTTCAGGTTGTTTACGGTAACTGTTAAGATGTAAGTTTTCATTGCCAACCTGACAGGTTGGTGCCAACTTGTTATCCCTGAAGTATGGCGTAACGCCTGGAACTTAGCAGATACTTCACAGGTATGAAGATATAAACATAATTAAGAAAATATAACTAACTGTTAATTTAAATTTTATTAGTGCTGGTATTGGTAGTCCTGTAAATACAGTCAGAGGAATTCCCTCAATAGATGTTGGCTAACAGATTATTAAAAATTCTGCTACTCTTTTTCTTTTGGTCCTGCTCCTACTTTGTGCATTATTTTAAACCCCCTTTCCTCTTCTCGATCTCTAAGAAACAAGCCAATTAGGAAAGTCTTTCAGTATGTTGGCAATGCCTGGTGTAGGGACAGAAGACTGGTGTAAGGTGTAATCTCCTGGCACGAGGGATGGAACACCAAGTCTAGTCTACCAGCATCTGACTCTTCATGGATTCTTCCTTTCCTGAGGCTTAGTCACCTCAGTACAAAAAGCTAAAATAATATTCCCTCTGCTTGTTCCATGGAGTTGCAGTTGAGATCAAATTGGGAAGTATTCTGTAAAATATAAATGTAAGGTAATATGGTAGACAGCTCTAAAATGGTTCCCAATGACCCAGATGTGTCTTCTGGTATTCACGCCCTCATACAGACCCTCATACATTGTCCAGGGTTGGTCTGTGTGACTGACAGAATACGGCAGAAGCGATGGTATGCCCCTTCTGAGACAGAGCAGAGAAGACACTGTGGCTTCTCTCTTGGTGGGGATGCGTTCCCGCCACCTCTCTTCCCCATCTCTGTCTCCTCCTCACCTCACTCACTGGGAAAGCCAGATGGAGAGGCCCAAACGATGAGGAACTAGAGCCTCTGGCTAACAGCCAGTAAGGAACTGAGGCCTGCCAACAGTCATGGGAGTGAGCCTGGAAGCGGATCTTCCCTTTCCAGCCAAACTTTTAAGCTGATTTTAACCCTGGCTGAGAGCTTGACGACCTCCTCATGAGAGACCACGCATGAGCTAGAACCACTGAACTAAGCCACTCCTGCATTTCTAGCTCCAAGAAATTGTGTGAAATAATGTTTAACGATGCTGAATTTGGGCTAATTTGGTACATAGCAATAGCGATGGATAACATATGGGTGATATTACTAGGCCCAGCCACATTTATACTGTTTCTAAAGGTGGTATTAAAATGAAGCACTGGCTGGGCACAGTGTCTCATGTCTATAATACCAAGACTTTGGGAGGCTGAGACAGGAGAATCTCTGGATCCCAGCAGTTTGAGACCAGTCTGGGCAACACAGTGGGACCCTGTCTTACAAAAGATTAAAAAATTAGCCAGGTGTAGGAGCTCACACCTGTAATCCCAGCACTTTGGGAGGCCGATGTGGGAGGACCACTTGAACACAGGAATTTGAGACCAGTCTGGGCAACATGGCAAAACCTGTCTCTACAAAACAACAACAACAAAATGAGCTGGGTGTTGTGACTCATGCCTGTAGTCCTAGTGACTTGGGACGCTGGCATGGGAGGATCACTTGAGCACAGGAGCTTGAGGTTACAGTAAGGTATGATCGTTCCACTGTGGTACAGCCTGGGTGACTGAGGAAGACCTTGCCTCTAAAATAGAAACAAAAAACTTAGAAATAAGTACACAATTGATGCAGCTGACATTTCATTAGAGACTTTCAATTAATACAAAAAAATTAGCCAGGCGTAGTGGTGGGTGCCTGTAATCCCAGCTACTTGGGAGGCTAAGGCAGGAGAATCACTTGAACCCAGAGGTGGAGGTTGCAGTGAGCTGCGATCGCACCACTGCGCTCCAACTTGAGACTTCGTCTCAATAAATAAATAAATAAATAGAAAAATAATTCAAAGATATCTAAACATAAGGTCAAACATCACATACATGAATGCAAGCCTATCAACAACTTGTCAGAGAAAACACTGCAGTAGTGTAAGAGAACCATGAACACAATCTTTGTGAATAGGACGGCATCGAGAGAGGGCAAAAAATACCAGGAGAAATGGAGCAAAGGCTTTAGAAAGCCTCCATGAAGGAAGGCACACCAGAATGCTACTGGCAACATGCTAGAGCAAAAGTTAGTACACAGCATAACAGAGTTAAAGAAGAAAGTGAACCTGGGAAGGTGGAAAGAGGGGATGAATGGAAAGAGGAAAGGTGGGGTGGGAGAAAGGATGGAGCAGGGAGGGAGGGAGTTAGTAGTTACCTACCTCTCACCCACATGATAGCTTTGTACAATTTGGAAAAGAATGCCCTTCCAAAAGGAAACAGCCCTGTACCAAGATGCACAGTTTAGAAAGCAAAGTCTGGGGTGGATTTCAGTCCTAATTTGTTTCCTGGCTAGATTCCTTTATGCCGTGAACAACCTGCCTAACTATACAAAGCAGTCCTGGGAAAGAGGGACCTGCTAACTCACTCTGGTGAAGAAGCAGGCAGGCCTTTGTTTCCCTGTTTTGGAGCACAGGCAAATTTCTCAGAACTGTACACAAAATGAATTTTCACTAGTATCATTTCCCACTGTTTTGCACCTGATGTGGAACTGTGTTCTAACAGAAAACATTCCAGTTTGGGGAACAATGCTGTTACTGGTGAGCTGGGGGAAGGGGACTGCTAGATGATTATAGAATTTAAGGAAACCTGGTAGCTCCCGTCACATAAGGATAGATGTACCTGTGGGTGCCTAAGATTTGTGTTCACAGTTACTTATGTAGCCTGGGCGTTTTTCATGGCTTTGCTTGGCCGTCTCTGGCTTTTCTGGGGCTCCTCCTCACACAAGTCACCGGGGGCACCACTGCTTACTGGTAACAGGGTAACAGGCTTCTCCAGCTGCATGCCCAAAACTGAGAATACACAATAGTGGTTCCTCAAAAGTTTCCTTTGCAGAAGACCTGTATCATAAATGCTGCCTCTACCTGCTTGTTAAAATGAGGATTCCTGAGCACGCTCTTCCCCAGACCTACTAAAACAAAAGTTCTGGAAGTGAGGCCTGGAATTCTGCATTTTGAACAGTGGCCATCAGTGTTAGAAAACGATGGTTTAACAGGAATATGAAATATGAGAAATTCCTGGGTGGACTTTATGAAAGAGAAAGGGAACTAAAGACTCAGGCCTAGCAACAGTGTAGTGTAAAGAACAAACCATGACTGGTTAAATATATGCCTTCCTCAGTAAAGTATTGTAAAAATTGCTAGAAACTTTAAAAAATTGTAGCATCTATAAACACACATAGATAACTAGTGCTTGTAGTCTAATTAAAAATGTTATTCCAAAATTAGATGATAATGGTATTTCATGTATTATGTTTTATGTAATAAAAGAAGACCTCACTTTTTGAAAAATTTCTTATTGGAGGGTTGACTATAGAACTTAATACAAAATCACTCCCTGGGCCATTTGCAAAATTTAGGCCTCTACTGAAGAATCTTAGTTGATCAACTGTTAGTCCAAATCTTAATAGCACCTTGAGTGGATAACAGAGAATAATAACAGGAACAAATTTCTTACCGCTGTAAGGGGTCCTTCTGCCTGCGCCTCCATTAGACTTGTGGGCGTCGCTGCAATAAACTGACTAGCAGCTCCAGGCTGGAGTTCCAGCCTATCTGTATACTGTTCTGAAGCAGCAGTAGGAGGACCCTCTGCAGAAAGTGCTAAGACCACACCTGAGGTTTCCTTCTTTAAATGATCATTTTCTGCCCAAGGACCTAACTGGAGCTTTTCATCTTGAGGTGATGCCTCCAGGACTTGAAGTACTTCAGGCTCCTCATCAGAAGGACTTCCAGTTGTTTTATGTCCTGCGGCCTCATTTGTCCTAAAATCCTGAAGGTCCTGCTCCTTGTCCACAATCACCCATTCTTTGGAATCAATCTCTTGCTTGCAAGAGCTCAGGTTAACGGCTATAAATCCATTGCTGCCACCACCATCTGCCTGCTCAGGGGTGTTGGCAGAAGCAGGCTTGGAGACATCTGGAAGATATTCTTCATCATAGTGCCAGATATGGTCAGTACGGGACACAGCAGGAACACAAGCCTTATGCAGCAGAGCAGGGAGAATAGATTCTTTTCCTGCACTGGTATCTTTCTGCATTTTCTCCAGGCTTAAGGAAATGGAAAGAAGTTACTCAATTGTCCTAAGGAAACATTTATTATATAATATATAAGCACCATACAGAACTAATATGGACACAAAGATGACAGAAAAAAAGATGGATAAAGCATAAGGAAAGTTTCACAGCATTGATAATGTTCTTCTCTACCTGCCACATCCTGCTTTGGAAGATGGAGTTCACGTCCTTCCTCAGCAAGGCCCTTTTTAGTTCCCTTCTTTTGTCAAACCAACTTTTTATTGAACTATGCTTTTATCCCTATTGTATGTTGATACTTATTCTCAATATGAGCCACAACTCAAAATGTGTAAACCAATGCCTCATCCATCCTTTTGATCATGTGAGCATGCAGACATGTGCTTACATAACATAGCTATGAATGATTACCATGTGAGGAGGAACACACATATGTGAAGGATTGTTTAAAATGGAAGCTAGATTGGAGTAGGCCAGAAGTGGCTGAATTGTCTTCGGACACAGTAATTACCATGTTAGTCAAATTCACAGTCCCTCTAACCTAATATTTCATTACCAATAGTAGCCACCAGAGACTATCACTGAAGGGTGTGACTACTGTTAAAGGAAATTAGGTCTTAATACTGTGAATACTATTAAAGCCTTCTATAACTCATAAATATATTCCACACTTTTTTCATTTCTGTCTTCTGTCATCAAATTTTGTTGTAGGGATAATGTGCCTCATAACTATGCACTACAATCTTCACCTATGTATAGATCTCTCAAGTTTCACCTTCCTTTCTCTCTAGGTAGACTGTGAACTCTCGAGGGCAAGCATGACATACTTATTGGTATCTATTTTCCTACAGTATTTTACTCCTAGAAGGTCTTCACTAAAGTGAATTGAACTGACTGTCCCTTGTATATAAATCACTTTTCCCTCTCCTTTATGTATTCCCCTCATCTCTGCCTAATACCACGTTTATCCTGCCCTCTCCAATACTACACTGTTGTGTGGAAGAGATTGCTTTCCAAACAAAGTTACTGTAAAAAATGCTCATTTAACTTGTTCCTAGTGTTAGGAAGTTATCAGCTCTTACTGCTCAGCTTCCAAAGCCAAAGGATATGCTATAGAATTTATAATAATTAAGAATCAGGGCAATAATAATTAAAAATAAGGATGAAAATTAGAGTTTAACAGAAGCAGTGTTACAAAAATGCAAGAATTTCTTATTTGAAAGACTTTATGTAACAGAAATATACAACAACAACAACAACAAAACAATAACAATGGTACCTTAGAAGCTTTAAAAAGAAAAATGAACTATTTTATACCAGGTCTCAAGGAACTTGTCAGTGTCTGGCTTTGGCTCCAGGGTCAGACGTTTTTCCAGCTCAAAGCTGTGGATGGAACGTAACTTTCGCACCAATGGAATATCTCTGTCTGGCTGAGTAATCTCTGAGCGGACACGAATTGGTGACCCAAGGCTTGGAGCATTGAGAAGACCATTTGCCTGGCCATGGCTGTTCTCCTCTTCAGTAGCAGCCTATCCAGCATATAAAATAAACCCATGAAAAACATTCTAGGCAATACACATGACAGAATCATTGAAGCCTTTCAAAATAATATCAATAAATGATTAGATGTGTTTTCAGACGATTAGGATATTTTGGCTAGTTTACTTCATTACATTCTTATCTATTAACTCTCCATTAAATGTGTTTTCTTAATTTATACTCAGTTTCAGTATTATTTTAGGTTTTTTTAATACTTTTGGAACAAAGATAAACAATCTAAAAATGTTTAACAGACTTGGCTTTTTGAATTATGTCTGACTTGAGGCTTGTAGGACCCCATTCCACTAACCTAAAACTGAAACCTGGAAAGGATGTTCTCTTTGAGACATAAGTGGTCTCACAAGTTAAGAGAGACTGCCAAGCCTCAGTCGCTATACCTCTTTTCTCATTCCTCCTCTAAAAAACAAAAAACAACATATGTATACTTGTGCCAAAAAAGCCTGGGGGCGGAAATTAAGCCTCATATCAGGAGTGTGGTGACAGAGGGAAGTCTGGGACATCTACTCTGATTAGAGACTCTCAAGAGGATGCCCAATTGGCTCAAATTGGTGATATACTCAGGGTAGCAGTAGAAACACAAGCCAGCCTTCCCTGAAGGAAGGTTTCCCCAAACCCCAATTTAGGTCTCCAGAACTCCCATCAATTATTAATTAATTAGCCAAAAAAAAAAAAAAAAAGAGAGAGAGAGAGAGAATCAATACAAGAGAAGGCATGCTATCATGATTGACACAACAGAAATAATAGTCAAAATTAAGAAAAACATTTAAAACTCCCAAAGATTTCAGATATTGAACTGGTTTCAATACAAAATATAGACCAGCTATTCCCAAATGTTTAAATAAATAAAGGTTATTACAACAAAGATCAACAAAGGGTTATTTGGAATTAAATGACAGATTAACTTAATATTTAATATTCAATTAACAAGTTAAACAGCAAGTTAGCAAAAAAAAAAAAAAAAAAAAAAAACAAAAAAGTGAAAATTATTAATTAGTGAAGCGGAAGACACAGCCAAAGAAATTACCTAGAATAAAAAACAGCAAGATAGGCCAGGCATGGTGGCTCACATCTGTAACCCCAGCACTTTGGGAGGCCGAGGAGGATGGGTCACAAGGTCAGGAGTTCCAGACCAGCCTGGTCAACATAGTGAAACCCCGTCTCTACTAAAAATACAAAAAAACAAATTAGCTGGGTGTGGTGGCGCAGGCCTGTAATCCCAGCTACTCGGGAGCCTGAGGCAGGAGAATCACTTGAACCCAGGAGACGGAGGTTGCAGTGAGCCGAGATCGTGCCATTGCACTCCAGCCTGGGCAACAGACCAAGATTCCATCTCAAAAAAAGAAACAAAAAAAAAACCCAGCAAAAAGAAAATTATGAAAAAAGATATTAAGAGATATGATGGATACAATAAAAAGCCATAATATATGTCTAACTGGAGTCCTAGAAAGAAGAGGTAGTAACATTTAGATACAGAATGGTTGTTATTTCCCAGAACATATTTTTTATACAAAAATAGGAATAAAAATATTCAAGGGACACAAGATATCCCAAGCAAGATAAACAAAAAGAAATACATGCCTAGAAACATAGTTAAAATGCAGAACACCAAAGACAAGAACAAGAACTAAAAAGTAGCTGGAAAGGAAAGATGAAGGTAGGGAAAACAATCACTTAAAAAGAAAAAAACAATTAGAATGACAGTAAATTTCTGAATACCAATGACTGAAGCCAGAGGAAAAATAATCATCAATAGAAAACTTTATATTTGAGCTGGGCGTGGTGGCTCACGCCTGTCATCCCAGCACTTTGGGAGGCTGAGGTGGGTGAATCACTTGAGGTTTAGAGTTCAAGACCAGCCTGGCCAACATGGTGAACCCTGTCTCTAATAAAAATACACACAAAAAATTAGCCAGGTGTGATGGCGCATGCCTGTGGTCCTGGCTACTCGGGAGGTTGAAGCAGGAGAATTGCTTGAACCCAAGAGGTGGTGGGTGAAGTGAGCTGAGACTGCACCACTGCACTGCAGCCTGGGCAACAGAGCAAAACTCTGTCTTAAAAAAACAGAACAAAACAAAAAACAACTTTATTTTCAGCATAAACTGTCTTGAAAGAATGAAGCTAAAATAAGTACATTTATAGATAAATAAATACATTTATAGAAAGAATCCTCTACCAAAAGACCGGAAGTAAAGGAACTTCTGAAGGAAATATTTCTGGAAGAAAGATGAGCCAAGGACTTTCAGAAATGAAAGGAAATGGTAAACATCTTTGAAAGTCCATATAAACATTACTTGTATAAAAGAACAACATTAATAATCTAATTCAAGGCTAGGCCGGGTGGTTCACGCCTGTAATCCCAGCACTTTGTGAGGCCGAGGCAGGTGAATTACTTGAAGCCTGGAGTTTGAGACTAGCCTGGCCAATACGGTGAAACCCTGTCTCTACCAAAAATACAAAAAAATTAGCCGGGTGTGGTGGCACGTGCCTGTACTCCCAACTACTTGGGAGGATGAGGCAGGAGAATCACTTGACCCCAGGAGGTGGAGGTTGCAGTGAGCTGAGATTGCACCACTGCACTCCAGCCTAGGTGACAGAGCGAGACTCTGTCTCAAAAAATAAATAAAATAAATAATAACCTAATTCAAGTCATTCTTTTTTGTTGTTGTCTGTTTGAGAAAGACTCTCACTCTGTCACCTAGGCTGGAGTGCAGTGGCGCAATCTTGGCTCACTGCAGCTTCTCCTCCCAGGTTCAAGTGATCCTCCACCCTCAGCCTCCCAAGTACCTGGGACTACAGGCACATGCCACCATACCCAGCTTTTTCTTTTTTTCTTTTTTTTTGGTAGAGACAGGGTTTTGCCACGTTGCCCAGGCTGGTCTCAAACTCCTGGGCTCTAGTGTTCCTCCCACTTTGGCCTCCCAAAGTGCTGGGATTATGAGTGTGAGCCACTGTGCCAGGGCAAGTCTTTTTTTTTTTTTTTTTAAAGAAAGAATTCAAATCAGAAGAGTACTAAAATGTTGGGAGAAGAGTGAATGAAGTTAAAATGTTCTACAGTCCTTGGAATATCAGAAAGGTGGTTAAAATACTGCTTAATTTTAGACTTTTAAGTTAAAAATAATCGGGAAATTTCAAGGACAACTTCTAAGAGAACAGAATTAGAATGTTTAAATCCCCAATAAGTACAAAGAAAAAACAGAAGACGAAAAATAGCAACAAAATCTGTAACGAAAAGAAAGGCGGGAAAATGGCATTAAAAAACTGAATAGAAATTCAAAAGAGAAGAGAAACAAGTTCATATAAAAATAATTTGGCTGGGCATTGTGGCTTGTTACTGTAATCTTGCCACTTTGGGAGGCTGAGGTGGACAGACCACCTCAGGTCAGGAGTTTGAGATCAGTCTAGCCAACATGGCTAAACCCTCTCTACTAAAAATACAAAAATTAGCCAGGTGTGGTGGCATGTGCCTATAATTTCAGCTACTCGGGAGGCTGAGGCAGGAGAATCACTTGAACCAGGGAGGCAGAGGTTGCAGTGAGCAGAGATCGTGCCACTGCACTCCAGCCTGGGCGACAGAGGGAGACTCTGTCTCAAAAAATAAATACATAAATAAAATAATAATTCTAAATGTAAATCAATTAAGCTAATTAAAACATAAAGACATAAGATTGTCTACTTATATTCCATTTAACGAAAGTCACAACAGAATACAGATGAGAAAAAATAGAAAGATAAAGGCAGAAAAGACACCAGGCATGTACTACCGGAAAGAAAGTTGGCATAACTGTATTAACATCTGACAAAATAGGCTTTAATGCTAGAAAAAAAAATAGTAGGAACAGAATAGAAATAGTCACTACATAAAGAAAAACAAAACTTTTAATCACCTGGCAGGTGTAAAAACTCTAAACTTGTATGCACTTAATAAACTCATGGATGAAAAAAATCATTATGGAAAAATATTTAAAACAGAATGAGAATGAAAATACAACACACCAAAACTTCTGCAATACAGTAACAGAGATATTTATTACCTTCTTTCTGCTTATCTTAGCTAATTCTGCTGCTTCTTTTGCTAGTTTGTTGAGGTAGGATTTAGACTATTGATGTAAAACCTTATCTTTCCTAATGTAAGTATTTAGTGCTATACATTTCTCTCTCAGCACTGCTTTAGCTGCCTCCCAAACATTTTGATATGTTGTAGTTTCAATTTCATTCAATTCTATGTAAATTAAAAATTTTTTCCTTTAAGGCTTCCTCTCTGACCCATGGTTTATACAGAAATACGCTGTATAATTTCCAAGTGTTTAGAGATTTTCCTGCTGTCTTTATGTCATTGATTACTAGATTAACTCCATTATTTTCAGAGAACATAGTATGTGCGATTTCAATTATTTAAACTTATTAAGGTTTGTTTTGTGGCTCTGCTTTTATGGAATCTAACCTAAGACAGTGGTTACCTCAGTGGGGAGAGGGCAGAAGCATAAATATAGAAGGAATATGTTAGAATATTCTAGTTCTTGGGGCAGATGGTAGATTCACATGCTTACATTACTATGCTTTGACATGATAAATATAAAATTTTTATATATAGTATAAGTAGATTTAATTTAATTTTTTTTTTTTTTTTTTGAGACTGAGTCTCGCTCTGTCGCCCAGGCTGTAGTGCAGTGGCTGGATCTCAGCTCACTGCAAGCTCCACCTCCCAGGTTTACGCCATTCTCCTGCCTCAGCCTCCCGAGTAGCTGGGACTGCAGGCGCCTACCACCTCACCCGGCTAGGTTTTTGTATTTTTTAGTAGAGAGGGGGTTTCACCATGTTAGCCAGGATGGTCTCGATCTCCTGACCTCGTGATCTGCCCGTCTTGGCCTCCCAAAGTGCTGGGATTACAGGCTTGAGTCACCGCGCCCGGACAAGTAGATTTTAAAAGATAAATATAGCTGTTTTGAATTTTTCTCCTAGATGACCAATGAATTCCTAAAGTTACAAGCTCTATCCATGCACTTTTTCATGTACATTTATTTATTTATTTATTTTTGAGGTGGAGTTTCCACTCTATTACCCTGGCTGGAGTGCAGTGGCATGGTCTTGGCTCACTGCAACCTCCATCTCTCAGGTTCAAGCGATTCTCCTGCCTCAGCCTCCCAAGTAGCTAGAATTACAGGCACCCACCATCACACCCGGTTAATTTTTGTATTTTTAGTAGAGACAGGGTTTCACCATGTTGGCCAGGCTGGTCTTGAACTCCTGACTTCAGGTGATCCCTCCCCAACCCTGGCCTCTCAAAGTGCTGGGATTACAGGTGTGAGCCACCATGTCTGGCCCTCATGTACATATTTTTACTTCTACTTCTACTTCAACCACTTCTTCCATAAGGCATGTTCCCAACTCCCACCCCATCTGCATGCATTTTAATTCTTTTAAATGTTTTGCACAATGTTCTGTCTTGTATTATATTTGCTTGTGCAGCTACATATCAACCCAAAGAGACCATAAGCTCCTTAAGGGTAAAAGATGTATCTTAAACTGCACGGCACCTAGCTTAGTACACTGTCTTCAATATTTAGCTTAAAGCCTTAGCCAGATGTTCAAAATGAGAGCTTGTAATGTTCAGCACTATATATTATAAATTCAATAAACTGCACATGATAACAAATAATGGACTTAGGGTCAAAACTATTTACCATTCAAATTTCACTCAGATTAAATAGTGATAGTGGGTAAAAGACAGAAACTAAAGTAACTAAGATCTTCTATGTCAAGTGCCATTTCATTCTCTCACATACACAGATATCCATATGGGCTGACAACTGAGAATGTCACCAGTGATTTTTTTGCTATAAGTTTGTTCTTGGTGCCATAAAGACAGCCACAGCTGATACTACAAAACTCTGACACTGACTCCCTATCTACTTTCCACTACTCATTCCTGACTACTATTGGTCCAGATTGTGCTTTGTCAACAGCCAAATCACATTGTGGCATATCACATCGATCCAGAGATCATTTTGCAAATGACTCCCATGACTGAACATATACACCTGCTATAGTCTGAATGTTTGTGGCCCCCAAAATTCACCTGTTGAAATTCTAATTCCCAATGTGAGGGTATCAGGAGGCGGGTCTTTGGGAGGTAATTAGGTCAAGAAGGCAGAGCCCTCATGAATGAGAGCGGTGTCCTTACAAAAGAGGTCCAACAGAGACCCTTCCCCATCTACATGAGGACTCAGCAAGGAGGAGCCACAAAACAGCCCTCACCAGATACCAAACCTGCCTAGCCTTCCTTCTTGGACTTCCCAGCCTTCCGAACTGTAAGAAATACATTTCTGTTGTTTATAAGGTACTGATACCTTACAAATTCCAAGCTTTATCTTGTTTTTGTTGGCATCCATCTCTTCCCAAACATCCTTCTCCTGGGGACGGGGGTGTCCCAGAGATCCAGGCAATTTATCTGGTGACACACCAACAGGGATGCCATTTTCTCCATCGCTAAGCTGTTCATCTGGAAATACCTCATCTGTATTTTCCCGAAGCAAGTCTCCTGGGATGGGAGTGGCATTGGCAATTCTACATATGAAGGGAGGAAAAAAAGGCAAGAATCAAAAATTACTATGATACTATCTTACATAATTATATTTCTTCATTTAAATGAAGTCCACATATAATTAAGAGAGTTCAAAAAAAAAAAAAAAAAAAAAAGCACCTTGAAAACTTAGTTTGGCCGGGCATGGTGGCTCACGCCTGTAATCCCAGCACTTTGGGAGGCTGAGGCGGGCGGATCACTTGAGGCCAGGAGTTCAAGACCAGCCTGGCCAACATGGTGAAACCCTGTCTCTACTAAAAATACAAAAAATAGCTAGGCGTGGTGGCGGGTGCCTATAATCCTAGCTACTCGGGAGGCTGAGGCAGGAGAATTGCTTGCATCTAGGAGGCGAAGGTTGCAGTAAGCCGAGATTGTGCCACTGCACTCCAGCCTGGGTGACAGAGCAAGACTCCAGCTCAAAAAACAAAATGAAACAAAAAAAAAAAAGAAAGAAAGAAAGAAAAAAGGAAAAGAAAAAAAAAAACCTGAGGTCATGCCAATTCTACAAAATAAAACTTTAACATTTTGATCAATTAGAATTTTCAAGCTGATTTTAAAATACAAATTCTAAAACAATAACACACTAATTTGACAATCACTTTATAAGTAAGAAGCATTTCATCTATTTTCAAAGAAGTCTTTGTCAATTAAAACAACATTTTTTTTTTTTTTTTTTTGAGACAGAGTTTCACTCTTGTCGCCCAGGCTGGAGTGCGGTGGCATGATCTTGGTTCACTGCAACCTCCACCTCTTGGATTCAAGTGATTCTCTTGCCTCAGCCTCCTGAATAGCTGGAATTACAGGCACCCACCACTATGCCCGGCTATTTTTTGTATTTTTAGTAGAGACAGGGTTTCACCATGTTGGGTAGAATGGTCTTGAACTCCTGACCTCAGATGATCCACCCACCTCGGCCTCCCAAAGTGCTGGGATTACAGGCATGAGCTACTGTGCCCGGCCTGTTAGAGAATCAAAAAAAAATCTAAACAGGAAAATGTTAAGTGCTGTTGAACTCCAAATAAAATACAGAGATAAATCTCCAAATCAACATTTCATTTGGGAAGCAAGAACTACAATTTGGGGCACATATATAGACTGAGTGGGTCTCTGGTATATCTGAAGACCAAAGGAGAGGTTGGGGGTTTTATTAGAGAGATGTCACATACTGTTTTGAAAGAAAGCTCATTGGCACTAGAGAAGCTTTTGGGAGCTGGCAGGCTCTGACTGGTGAGTGACAGAGGAATGTAAATTTAGTGTTAGAGTCACAAGAGGCCATTTCAGCAGCTGGGCTTTCGAGAAATCAAATTCTTGGAACAGGTGCTATATGCCCCAAGTACTTTCTCCCTCTGGCCTCTTGATTGATTTAGTTGAATATGACAAGAATGACCTAATTTGTATAATCAACTTTTGCAGTGCCATAATGAAATAAACAGGTGTCAGGTCAATCAGCTATGCTATTTTTTTTAAGGTGTGAAATGTGTATTACTTTTTCACTCGCAGACTTTTTTTTTAATTTTTGAGACAGAATCATGTTCTGTCTCCCAGACTGGGGTGCAGTGGCATAATCTCGGCTCACTGCAACCTCCACCACTGGGGTCCAAGTGATTCTCCTGCCTTGGCCTCCCAAGTAGCTGGGATTACAGGCATGCACCACCATGCCCAGCTAATTTTTTATATTTTTAGTAGAGATGGGGTTTTGCCATGTTGGCTGGGCAGGTCTTAAACTCCTGGCCTCAAGTGATCCGCCCACCTCGGCCTCCCAAACTGCTGGGATTACAGATGTGAGCCACCGCGCCCAGCCACTTGCAGACTTTTTACTAAGCACCTACTACATGCAATGCCCTAGCAACACAAACAAGAGGAAGGAAATTCTTGCCCTAGAGGGAAAACTAGACTTCCTGTAATTATACAGTTTATATAGTTCAGCATGAACTGACCTGGGGGTAAAAATAGCAAATATTAACTGGCATTTGTCTATATATTTCTTTCAAAGTAATTCCAGGTCTTATTTACATGGTTGGTCATCTCTTCCTTAGACCCTCCCATGAGAGGCTTTTCTAGTTCACAGTTATCGTTCACCAAGTGAAAAGGCTCCTGCCAGTTCTACAACACTATGTTCTAGGTTTTTTTGTTTTTTTTTTTAAACTATTGCTGACTGAACACAATACTTAGTACACAATGAAACCTCCTCTTAGAAGTGACCTGGAATGTCTCAAAGTAGACAAATCAGTCTTCAGTACATTATACTGACTCCTGTAATTACTGTGAGTGGCAACACAGGCATCCTCTCAGTGAGCCACTTTAAGAGTCACAGTTAGATCCTGGCAATGGTGTCATGAGTACTTCATAGGCTGTGAGAAGACCAGTGATTTTTCAGGGACTTGTTCCACCTGACTTGGTGACCGATGACCTTCACCGCTACCTTTGCCTAAATGGGTCAACGCTAGAATGAACCTCTTTATCGACAATTTACAATGATACAATCTAGAAAAGCACTGATAATGGCTCCCAGAAAAAAAACTTATAACCGAGTAGTGTCTGTAGTTCTGACAGTGGAAGCATATTTAAAAGGTAGTTTGGCCTAAAATAGTTCAAATAAACAGATTTATTATAGAGATAATTAAAGATCAGAAATAAACTGGCTACTAATGGATTTTTCAGATATTAGTTCAATATAATTTATTTATTGATGCAAGAGTCACAATGGACACTAACATACATGTACTACACGGTAATCCAAATGTTTATTGAAAGAATTCCCTCTATTCCTGAGGAAAGAGAAAGGGAAATAGATGAATATTTGAATTGAAGAAGCTTAGTCTATTATCTTCACCTTTTTTCCATTTTAATCACTCAGTATTCTTCCAAGCCCCTTTTTCCCTTATGTCTAGCCATTATTCTGCTTTTTTTCCAACTACCTCAATTCCTTGGCATTTCCTTCTTTCACACTTCAGGAAACAAACCACGCCTCCATCTCTGAATACACTTCTACTTCTACTTGAATACAATCCTACTTTTTCTCTTATATCTTATGCTTCAATATGATACCACACACTGCAAGGACCTCGTCTATCTCCTCCACACAGGCTCTCTTTTACAGGACTCAGGTTCCTCCCCCACCCGTCCCCTCCCTCTGCATTTATTCTCCACTCCTTACTCCTTCCCTGGTTCTTGTTTCCTTTCTTTTTCTAAACTCTGATCCAAATCTGGAGTATGCGATATAGAAAGAAATAATTCCTTCCCAGGAAAATTATATCATGTTCAGGAATATGAATGAGTGAGACAGTACACATGAGAGTGTTATTAGCACATGGCCCATGTGTCCAGGCAAAGTGTTATGTAACTGAAGCAGATTAAGGGAATAAGAAAACGTGTGGAAGAACTGAAGAGCTATGAGAGAAAATAGTAAGAATGAATATCCTTTTCATATTTCATTCCCCATAATCTAAGGCAAACTAGTGTCTGTGGGCCAAATCTGGCCTGCAGATCAGAGGAAAATCTATGGCATTAAACATAAAACCTATTTTTTTTTTTAATAGACTTGTTGGAACACAGTCAGTCTCGTTTGTTTACGAGTTGGCCACGGCAGCTTTTGCACTACAACAGCAATGAGAGTAGTGACACAGACAGCACAGCTCACAGATATTCATCTGGCCCTTTACAGATAAAAGCTTGCTGGCTCATGATTTAAAGCATCCTCTCACCTTCTCCTAAACTTTCAATCTCGGCCAGGCGCGGTGGCTCAAGCCTGTAATCCCAGCACTTTGGGAGGCCGAGATGGGCGGATCACAAGGTCAGGAGATCGAGACCATCCTGGCTAACACATTGAAACCCCGTCTCTACTAAAAAAAAATACAAAAAAGTAGCCGGGCGATGTGGCGGGCGCCTGTAGTCCCAGCTACTCGGGAGGCTGAGGCAGGAGAATGGCGTAAACCCGGGAGGTGGAGCTTGCAGTGAGCTGAGATCCGGCCACTGCACTCCAGCCTGGGCGACAGAGCCAGACTCCGTCTCAAAAAAAAAAAAAAAAAAAAAAAAAAAAAACAAACTTTCAATCTCCCTCTATGAAGAAATTCAGGGTTCTGGGACATACCCTATACATTTTTCTCTTTAACACTGATTCTCCAGGTGTTCTACCATATCATTTGCAAACAGAAAAAAATCAGAGATTGTCAAGCTTTTTCTTGGAGGGTCAGATAGTGATGTGGGCAAGAGTCATTGTTGGATGCTACAATTAACAGGCAAAAGTATGACAAGAAACACAGTGCTGACATAGTTGCAAATATCTTCCCACAAGATTATTTCTTACAAAAACAGTTAACTTTATAGTAGAAAGAACCGGCCACCGTAACCAAATTATCAACACTAGTATCATCAGTAAAAAGACATATTGACATTATGTACCTCCTTGTTTAATGCCATAGATTTTCCTCTGATCTTTGCTCTAAATTTATCTCACAGATTCTGATAAGTAGTGTTTACATTATCATTTTTTTCTATAACTTAGTTTTTCTTTTCCTTTTCACCCAAGAGCATAGTCATACATCACTTAACAATGGGGATACACTCTAACAAATGCCATTGTTAGGCAATTTCGTCATTAACCAAACCATCACAGTGTACTTAAAAAAAACTGTATTGTATAGCTTATTACGTGCCTAGGCTGTACGGTATAGCCTATTGCTCCTAGGTTACAAACCTGTACAGCATGTTACTGTTCTGAATACTGCAGGCAAGCATAACACAATGGTATTTGGGTATTATAACATATCTAAACACAGAAAAGCAGAGTAAAACTACAGTATTGTAATCTTAGAGGACCACTGTCATATATGCAGTGTGTCGTTGATGGCAATGTCATTACACGGCACATGACTGTAGTTTAACAGGTTTTTAAATTTCCAGTAAAAGGGCCTTTGATACTTTAATTTTGCTAGTAATTTCTAGTTTTCTTGCAGTGTGATCAGATAGTGTAATACTTCTACTT